CTTGTTTGTCAGGCCTCAGTGAAGAGCTAAGAGATTTGCTCATTTAGGGAGTTAGTTCTCTTGCCTTTATTCAAGTAAGCAGGACAATAAGTCAACAAATATTTTTGTCCAGTATGGAAGATGAAATTCTCATTGTTATAAATACTAATGATGATATAATAACATTATTGTGACTGCTGGAGCTGCTTTTGGTTTTAATTTGATCCTCGTAGCTTCGGTCTTTGGCCTTCAACATACACGATACCCCGCTGCATGCAAGAAAAAATCTCTGGTACCAAGATACCTCATGTATGTTACTTAAAAGTCACTGCAATTTTGATATTTAAAAAGATTTAATAAAGAGGCATTGAATCATCAAATGTTGCCTCCTATTTCTTGCATAAAAAAGATTATAATGAGCTGTAAAAAGCCTTGCATGCAATCATAATTTTTCATTAACTTATTGATAACTATAATTATCAGGGCTAAGCACCTAAATGGGCTCCCCTGATATGAATCAATACAGGTCTCCCTCTCTCTCTAGTCCTTGATTATAAAGCATATTATTCACACAGCATGCACTATAATATCATTTGATAATAAAACAGTAAATTATTTTCCTATAATGTTTCACGACTCTCAATTTTGGTTTTAAAAATGGCTGAAGTTATTTTTACCTTGCCTGGTTTTGCCACATAAATGGAATGAGTACTTATCCTCCAGTGTATAAGATTTTTACTGTTTAGATATTCCAAGGCAGAAGCAAGCTGTGTTATCATCTGAATCAGATTGAACACTGAAAGTTTTGGCATAGCCTCCATAATGTTCCCACACTCCGCATAATCCAACACCTGATCATGAAGATAAAGACTGAGTTTACAGTTGTCATGTCAATTAATTAAGCACTGACAGAAGCATAAGAGTTGCTCGAGGCATAACTGAGAGCATCCATTACTAAATATACACACAGCTTAAAGCATGCATAAACCTATTTATTTATAAAACAGCTGACAAAAATGCTTGCTTTTTGATTAACTGCAAAATTCTCATAATGTACTGCACCAAAAACATAAACGTCTCTATTGGATGATTACAGGCTTTTAGCCAGACATTGAGGCCATTCAGAGGACACGTTTTCCCATAAAATCATAAGTGATTAAGTTAATTTTCCTTGTCTTTCTTCCAAAAATGGGCATCCATATGATGGCTTGCCACCCTTCTGGCTGAAACCTTGCTGGTTACAAACATTACCTGACAATCATCTAGTTTGAAAGAAAACTCTTTTTCTCAAACGTGTGACAGTGAAAACTTGCATACGTTAATCATCAAAGTAAACAATTAAAGCAGAAACATAGGTAAAAGAGTTTTAAAGTCCACCTAAAGTTAAAATGTTCAAATGTTCGTAAGATCTAGAAGGGGTGGAGTATGCTGGTTTGGATTCATGAAATGATGTTTATGTTTTGCTTGGCGAAATCCAGGAAGCTTGTCGCTTTGCGAAAATGATTGCCATCCTACGTTATGCGAGCAAGTCTTACATGAACTGGTCTTTATAAGGCTTTTTGAGGGGACCTGGCTGCATGCAATTGTTTTTGTGTTTTTTTAATTTATTTAAATTTCCTTTTTTATTATTTATTTACAATACTTTCACATATTACAATACAATACTTACAAACTTACAATACATATATCTTATTGGACTGCTTAGTGTGTAGTATCATGAGATATTTTCATGAGTCATGCTGTATTTTGGTGAGCCCGTAGGGCATGTTAAAATACAACAGACTAGTAAAAATATCCCACAATGCTACACACTAGACCATCCAGTATATATCATTCAACTCAAGAAGTACAAAATAGAATTCAGTAAATGTGCACGCTTGCCTGGCCTACTTATGACAAGAATGCATGACAGGCTAACATGAGTTGAGTTTCACGCGCTTTCATCAACGCTGTTGCTGATTGGTCAGAAATCAAAACTTGTCAAACTAGTTTACTTGGTAAATCGATTTTTCCAAATGTCTTCGTCAAGGCTTCAAACATTTGCAAGAAAAACAGAGATGGAATGACAGATAATCATGAGACTTCTAATGGTAATCGGTTATGTAAAAGACTACCTGGTAGGAAAACTGAGCAGAGCAAATTGTGATGGAAAGAAGAAAACTCTTCTACAAATTCAAGGAGGTTCAAAGAGCTACTCGTAAACAAAAGACTTGAAACCTCATCTTTGCCAGTTTAAAAAATATTTACTAACAAAAAGAGAATGTGTTATGTCCACCGTGTTGAGTTTTCTTGACACTTTTGAAAAGAACTTGAGGTGAAGACTGTTCAGTTCCTTGGTGGGAATTGTATTTTTTTTCTTTCACGGATTTTCGCCATCACCATCTCTATCATACAACTTCAGGTCTGTTTTCATCTTCTCTGTTGTATAAAGTTTGTATGCAGCTCTATCTTTTTTTAATAAATGTTGACATTTCATCATTGTTCAGAGAACTTTACTCTAGAAACTCCATTTATTTAAGTTTACAGTTTGGCCCCTATTCCGTTATTAAAGATATAGAAGGTTTGAACTAAAACAAGGCAGTGATCTTAGAAGAATTAAAGGGATCTGTGAAATCCAGGGTGCTCAGCATAATTATCATGATTGCACGCTAGCCAAGTTTAAGTTAGGTGCCGGGAGCCACTGGGTGGGAACTCCTTTAATTATTAGCACAGCCCTGAAAAAGAGGACCGCTCTACCCTATACTTCCTCAACTCCCAGCCTCTTTGCATTCCTTTCACAATTTCTTTCTGCGAAAAAAGCTTTGGGGTCAATAGGGAGCAAGATTGTCATTCAAATTCTCCTTTAGGTACACCAGAGGGGAATTAAAAACACTATAAAACAAGTAACTGCACTCACTAGAGCTACAGAATCCGTGTACAGCCCTGGTAGAATAACTCCATAGAGATTAAGGATGCTTTGGTGTGCCAAAGGTGCAGAGATTTCAGCCTCATGAATAAAATGATCTCGCTGACCCTTTGAGCGATCATATCTTAAACATACCTGCATCTGTAAAAACAATGTGCCACAACACTCAAAGTTAATAACTGCCAACTCATTTCACCCCAACAGAAGAGCAGATCAAACTTACTCTTGGCAGGCTGTTCCACCTTGGTCTTCAAAACACTGGTTAACTGGTTTGTTTTTGTTGCTCTTGGTTTATTGGCAAATTCCTAAACTTCTTTGTTCATTTGATTTGTTTTTCTATTAATACTTTGTTAACTTTGACTTCTAAGAACTTCAAATAGATGGTTAAAAATCGGGTTTTAAAGTGTTGTTTACAAACTTGCTATTGCCCAGATTTTTTGGTGAAATACCACCTGTTACATACCGCAGAATAAGCAACAGGCTTTTAGCCTTCTGATTGGCTGTACTCGCTATTCATAGGATAAATGGGAGTATCCCCCATGTAATAATATCCACGCCAGCTGATTTAATGAAACTTATGTACCTTGGTTGAAACCTCACCTTTTCTCCATTGGGTTTTGTCCAAATAGCTTTAAAAACAGATCCTGAAACGGGACCTGTGGCAGTTTTCTTGACAACTTTAACATCCTCCATGGAAATAAATGCCACTCCAGAAGCTTGTAACCGTGCTTTATAGGGTACTTTTCCATGTTTCTGCAATAAATAAAATATTTAATGTTATTGAACATTTTTTTTTTTGCATGAAATGATGATCACATGCACAAGTCCAAGCAACTTAAGGCCAAAGGAAAAAAATACCTATAAGCAGGGCTTCTGATAATTCGCGCGGTCGCGGACCCGCGAAATTCCCCCAAAAACGCGAAATACCGCGAAATCCGCAAGAAATATTTCCAAATACATGTCGGCAAAACATATTTAATACTTATCTTGGCTATTAGACCGGTTTTATTCACCCGAAACGTCCAAATTTAGCTTGAAGCTTCGTCACTGCGACGAGTAAACAACGTCCCAAAACTACCAGGCCCCGGTTGCTCAAACGTTGGATAGCGCTATCCAGCGGATAAATCACTATCCAGCGTATGACGCAATTGTTTCCCGTAATACGTATCTGCTGGATAGTGATTTAACCGGTGGATAGCGCTATCCAGCTTTTGAACAACCTGGGCCAGGCGTTTTTAGATGAACGTTGCGAAAAACTGGGCACTAACCATAATGTTTTTAGCTTTAACATTCGCTCATTTCTCGAGCGAACTGTTGTTGAAAGAGCAAATGATTATCCCTGTTAAAAAAAACGTTCACCAACGCTGGTCATATCGGCGCCAAAGTGATCGATTTTAGCGAAATTTGCCATAAAAAACCCCAGCGAAATCGGCGGTTTTTACTGATTGTTCCTTGGCGAAGTTTCCCCCCGAAATTTCCCGTGAAATCGGCCGATTTTCCTAAGAATTTGCCCCTGAAAATCCTTCGAAAATTGACTTTTTTCCGCTAAAATCCTGCGAAATGGGCCGATTTTTCTGCGAATTTTGACTTTTCTCCTGCGAAAATCAACCGAAATCGGCCGATTGTTCCGCGAATTTTGACTTTTTTCCCGCAAAAATCCCGCGAATTTACCCCTGAAAATCCCGCGAAATTTTGCTTTTTTTTCCGCGAAATATCAGAAGCCCTGTATAAGGTATTTAAAAGGTTTCTTTTCTAATGAAATATATCATCAGGCATAATTTAATATCCTGAAATCACCACAAAACTTAAGCTTAAGAAAAACCCTTTCACCCTTTTGCCTTTTTCAGATTATTTTTACTGAAAAATGCTACCTGAAGCTGGACAAAGCCACACCTTCTTGACAAAAAGAAGTAACTTAAACTACCCATAACATATATAACAAGTCAAGCATGTGCAGAAAGGAAAACTTTTGAGATTAGACAAAAGAGGGACATGCAATGCCCCTTGACTTTCACAACCTTTAACTTTCTCTTCTGATCTCCCTACTTCTTTATGTTTGTTCTCCGATCCCCTTGTAATTACTGGGTATTTATCAGGTTTCACGTCTCAGGAAAAGCCAAAAGTATTTTATAGGAATAACAAGTGGCTAGACCAGGAACAATTTTTGTTTGCATTTTCTGCATGGTCAAACTTATGATTCTTGGGTGCTGTTCTATGGCCTGTTTTACTGTCATTTCCGAACAAGGATTAGACGATCACTTTCCCTAAAACAAGTTGGGAATCTAAAGTGTCCTTGGCTTGGCTTATTGATGTCTGCACACTTGGTGCACAGGATGTGGTTTAAATATATGGCCAAAAAAAAACGTAAAAAATTTAAATTAATGTGTTAATTTCAAAACCACAGAAAAAAATTCTAGTACAACTTACTGTGAAAAGCTTGTTCACTGTACTTACCAATGCCAAAGAAACAAAATCTGTTTTCTCTGCTTCTTGCGGCAAAGTCCTTAGCTGTTCCTTTGCAAAGTTTGGTAGTAGTCTGAACCTTTTCAGTGCCTCTTCATCAAGCTTCTGCCAATCAGCAATTGTTCGAACTTGCAAGTCATAACACAGAACATTGAAACAGTCTTTGAGGTTGCTTTCCGCAAGAAGAAGAAAGATCTTGTCAAGTTCAGTAAGTTCATCTTCTTGAAGATGTGAACCAGAAGTCTAAAAAGTAGATAGCAAAATTTTAAGTTATTTTAAATTTAGGACTGAACATGGTCCTTTTTACTACAATGACATCTGAGAAATTTTGATTTTTTTCAAAAAACATGATTATGACAATTATCATTCAATAATAATTATTGAACCTCTCGCAAGTGACCACCCAATATGCGAAGACTTAGCACTTGGTGACTTTTGGGAGGTTAATTGCCGCTTACAAGAATCAAACCTCGTAGGGTCTCTAAATAAATAATGATTTGGAGGTAGGACATCCACAAAGTGGTTCTTCGTCTACCTGATTCCTGATCGAATTGGAACTTGGAAATGTTGGTTTTTGAGGAGAGGGGAAAACCAGAGTACACAGAGAAAAACCTCTTGGAGCACAGGAGAGAACTAACAACAAACTCAACCCACATATGGCGTCAACGCCAGGATTCCAACCCAGGCCACATTGGTAGGAGGCGAGTGTTCTCACAACTGCGCCATCCCATGCTCTCTTCTGAAAAGAGGTCCAGACACATTTTGCTCCATGGAGGATAATTAAGTGCATGCAGTTTCTAAGTTACAGCATGTTTGGTTTCATTTTGTCACTAAAAAATTTGTATACTCTGAGTAGCATATTCTATAAACAGCAAACAACAAGATCAGACAATTTGTCAAGTGGCCACTCACAAAAGGTTAAAACCAATGGAAAATTATTGAAACCTCTGAAGCCCAAAAAAATGGTTGCGGTCACTTTAAGAAGTTGGTTACAAAAGGGTCCAATTTGTAACATTTTGACCAGGAAAATTTTGGTTTTTTGGATTGGTGGTTATAAGTAGTAGGGTCACTTATGAGAGGCGGTTGCACATGCAGGAAAAGGTTTGAGTGCATTATTGTTTTGAACAGCATACAACTGTCGAGATATTTAGATCTTTATACCAACAGGGTCTGGAATGGGGGTCCCTATACCACTCCTTTTACACAAAACCCCGCATCCTGTACTAATTCATCGCTTTCCTGAATTCCAAAATCAATACATTATGATTTCAAACCTCTCTCAACCTCTGATTGCAATGGATTAAATTTTTCCTGGATTGACATTGAGCTGTTGTTTTGCTCTGTAGCAAATTTAAGTAAGCAGTCACGGATCCAGGGGAGGGGCTTGGGACCCCCCTTATTTTTGGACCAAACTGCCGCCCCCCTTATTTCAGGGTCTGGATGACCTGAGGCCCCCCCCTTATCTGAAGGTCTGGATCTGCCAATGTTAAGTCACCTGGCAGTGATCCCTGTCGAATTGTATGACATATCTAGAAAAAACCTGTAAGTCTACTACTTTCCTGGACCAGGTCATTCGAAAGGCAGGTTAAATTAACCTCAGGTTAGGCCTAACCAGAGGTTAAATTTCTTAACTGCAGGTTTGTTAACTTGGGTTTAAAATTGCGTTTTCAAAGAGCGGTTAGAGGACCTGTTACTTAATCTTAGGTTTACCACTACTAACTCGCGGTTAGCATCTCATAATATGTCTTGGTTTGTTTACGTCCTAAAACAGCGTCAGTGGAGGATTCCAGAAAAATAATTTCAGCGCATCAGAAATTGCTATTTTAACTGAGAACGTCGAAGAAAACTTGCACGTTTCGCAAAGTAAGTTGACAATCAGTGTGACAAACCAAAGGCAAGGACATTAGACACCAATAACAGTGACACAACACTGTAGGAGTGGAGAAGAGATAAGTGGCGAAGTCCGAGGGAAGTGGAATAATCTTCATTTCCTGTGTAATGTTTATCGAATTCACAAACCTTTCAGAAAAGAAAAGAAACAAAAAGGAACTGGAGGAGGATTGACCTGCTTCCAATCCTGTAGCCAGCTCTTAGTTCTTTGTTTGTAAAATTTTTATTATTTATCATTTGTCTGAACTGTCTGTGAGTCTTTTCTGTTGTTGTTCTTATAGTTAGTAAACCGTGACAACAAGTCAGTCAGTTTGTTTTGACATTACTATTATTATCATTAAGTTTAACCTAAGGTTAGTTATTTAATTAACCCACATAGCTAGTAGGGTTAAATTTAACCTGCTGTTTAACCTAAGGTTTGAGCTAACTGGTATTTGAACAACACAACAAACCTGCGATGCGGTTAAAATTCATCCTCAGGTTAAAATATAAGCAAATTTGACCCGAGGTTTGGATTTAACCCGCTTTCGAACAATCAGGTCCAGGCCTCTTTTTTATCCCATTGTTAAACAAAATGTTGACAGTGAGAAACTCTTAGTGATTTTCCTCAAAGTTGGTGGGGTCGTAATTGCACTTGAGTGGTTTTAACATCTTAAAAGTTGGGAAACATGTGAAACGAGGGCGGCAGCCCAAAAGTAAATTAAGAAACTTGCTTCCTAAAAGAGAGTGAAGGATCACAAGTAATTAACGCAAAAATGTGATTGAAGCCCTGAACACTTCAGACACTTAAAGCCCTGACAATGAACTAACAAAACAGTCCCTCAAAGTAACAGGTTACCGATATATATTGAATATATATTGGGTTTCAAGACACCCAAAGAGCTCTGAGATCAATCTCAATGTTAATATTTTGTTTCAGCTTCCCTGTTCGAATCATTTCCGTAATTTGCTTTCCAATTGCTATCAAATCGAATTGGCATGAACTGCAGTCCTTTCAGACGAGAGAGAGAAATAAGTAGATAGGTCATGGCCTTTATCGAATGGTAAAAATCGAGATTGAGCGAGATCCTAGTTAGAACTGCGAGTCTCTTTCAGAAAAGTTTCGATACTCAAAAAAAGTAAAAACAAACCATGAAAAAACGAGACTTCGAGACTTATCGAAAACGTTTCCGAGATTTCGAGATCGTGCCAAAATTTTCCGAGACCCACGTTTTTCGAGGTACCATTCGCCACCCCTGCCTTTCCAAAGTTTTCTAAACAAACAACAATGTGAGGGCTTACCTTGTCTAACGACTCTTTCTTGCCAGACTGCCACATTTCGCATTTCACCGGCCAGGCCTCAGAAACCTGAAAAGGTTTCAGGACTGTGACTGAAACCACGGACGGAAACGTACTGCACGACTACACGAGAATAACATACGGGCAACACACGTACTTAGTGATACGGGTACCTCTAGGCATAACAGTATCAATTTTCTGTACAAAAAACGATCACGACTAAAAATCGCTCATAAGGACCATAAGGTACACAACCAACTTTTACGCGCTAAACGATTTATTCCATAAAGTTCCGTAAGAAACGAGCACTGGTGCTTTCGGACTTGACAGCCTTTTCCTGTTGTTACTTTCGGGAGGACAGGTCGCTTTCGGGCAGATACCATGTACGGCCCCCGGCAGGGGGAGGGGGGCGGGTACTCATGCCACCCAGGGGAAGTTAGAGGTGTGCGGCAGAACGGCTAGCCTGTGAACCGCAGACGTATTTCCCGTCTTCGCTTCTGAAATACGTCTGCTGTTCGCAGGCTACAGAAGGGCCAGAAGGCTTCAAAACCTCACCCTGTTTAAGACAAAAAATGTTCATTTCGCCACCCTGTTTAAGAAAAGAGATCAGTAGCGAATGCATGGAACAGCATTTTCCTTGCCAGCGTCCCAGCGCGTCACAGACGCTCTAAACCTTCTGGATACTTCTTCGGAAAGTTATCGAAGTTATCGAGAGTTCTTTTTGATGCGAATTTATTATTTTTTTTGCTAGTTGTGCATGTGCATTTAAAACTTGAAAACAAATGCCAGTGAATACTGAGGATGCTCACTTGTAAACACAAAATCTGGGGGAAGATTGGTTACCGTAAAATTCCGAAAATAAGCCCCTCCAAATATAAGCCCCCCAAACTCGTAACGCAAAAAACCCTCCGTTAAATCGCCCCTCCGAATATAAGCCCCGCCGGCGGCTTGTACTTGGAAATTACCCTCAAATACAAAGCAAAACAAAGAAAAAACGGTAAATTTCATTCCACCTGAGGCTAGCCCAGTCGATTTTGAAACGCAAATTTCCCTCCGTAGATAAGCCCCTCCGAATAAAAGCCCCTCCACAAATAAGCCCCTCAAAAAGGGCCTTTGAAAAATATAAGCCCCGGGGCTTATTTTCGGAATTTTACGGTATATTTGACTTTAAGGCCCTATTTTAAAGCCTTCCCTGTTTTCAATGTTCCTGAAACTTGCAGGGTATATTTATCTACGATTGATCGCGGAATTTTCAGTTGTATAAAAAAATTTAGCAAGCGGTTTTTTGAATAATGCGAAATTTGTAGGTATGGACCAAATTACGGGCAAAAACTGTTAAGTAACAAAAGCAGCTGAATGCAATTTAAAAAAATTCTTCCACCAATAATAGCTAATTGTGTTTCAAAATATTTCCAAAACGCTCTCATAGAATTTGTTCAAACTTTGCCTTAATTGAAGCCATTATGGCAGGTACATACTCCCTTAAGCGATTTCTTTAAAAAAAACTCCTAGTACAGATAAGAGAAACACAAAAATAAATAAACAACGTAATGGCGTCATTACGTTGCCTTGATGACTCCGATTGCAGTAAGAAATTGTCATCTTTATATAATACAGTTGTGCTAACCTTTTCCCCATGTCTTTACTTATGCCGACGAAGTTACTGCTCGAACTTGGGAGGTTCCCACTCCCTAAAAAATCCAGTCGAGCCACCTTAAAGGAGCTTATTGACGATGTTGCTACCTACAAGCCAGTTGTCACATGTACATAGTTTAGAAGGATTGTCTTTGTTGACAACTCCAAGTCATGTTCAGAATCTTCATTTACTCCGCTATACTTTTGTTACAGTCACTCATTACTCTCAGATGCATCGCTTAATTCCACAACACACAAAGCAATGACCAGAAGCGAAGGCTGAGCAAATCAAATTATCAGCCTTTCTTTGATCTTTATGCACCTATCAGTGTTAAGCCGGGGGGGGGGGGGGAAGGCAGGGCATGGGATGGGGATTTGATTGTTTTTGTTGGCCCTGGGGTAGGGCATTTGACTAATCTTGTTCTCCCGGGGGAGGGGATATTTGAATCTTTCTTCGCCCGACGTGGGGAAGAATTTGACTGCCGACTGGATGGCTTGATGTTAATGTCTTTCGTGTTGCTGCAACGTTTATAAATAAAGATTGCAGAGTTTTATTTGGAGATATTTTTATTGTGCCTTTCTTGGGTCCAGCCTTGGGATGGACAGCAATGTGCAGCCCGGGGTAGGGAAATTTGGTTGCAATTGACTGGAATGATTTGCCCGTGGGTAGGGAATTTGACGGCAAATTTTTGAAAAATGTCAAATCCCCACCCCATGCCCTGCCTCCCCCCGCCGCCTGCTTAACATTGATAGGTGCTTTAGTAGATACAGTCTCTAGGACATTTCTGAAGCAAAAAAAGCAGTTTTTGGCGGGCCAAAATTCATCCAACTTTTTGGGAGATACATCTTACAAGTTCAGAGTTGTTAATTAAACTGGACTAAGAACGAAAATCAGTTTTAAAAAATTCCGTGTCATATACACTTAAAAAGTTTCGCTGAAATAACATCTAATTCAATTGCTTCCGACTTACAAAGTTTTGATAGCAGTGTAAAAATGTGTGCTGGTGTTGTTTTTTGAAATATGACTATTCATGACTAATATTTATCAGTTCCAGTAACAAATTCTACGAAGAATTTATCAACTTCTATTACACATCTACGAAGGTTTAACTCAATTCTGTAAAAAAACGGAATTTCACATTTCTGCTTCACCTGCTTGTGGTCTTTAGAATTTAGCCCATTGTCAGATTCCATTTCATCGACAACGGCTTTACTCGACGAGCGCGAGGTCAGTTCGTTAAAAGTTTTCATGATCTGTGTAGATCTCCCGATTAATTGATGAAGGCACTTTCATAGTAAGCCTGTTCGGCGCTGTTAATTTCCCGATTTACTTGATTTCTAACTATCTGAAATTGACTCCAAAAACGTGTAGATGGATCATTTGTTTCAATAGCTTTTCATTTAAGGTGCTCTCTATGATTCATCCGCTATCCTACATCATAACTGATCGAACGCAGTAAGGCCTGGCTCAGACGCCGTACTTTTCATGTGCTGAACCTAACTGAATAACGCATCAATTACTGATACGAGTCTTCATAGCCGATAACATCACGGCTTAACTGACAGACGACCAATAACATCGCGACATAATTGACCCAATTAGATCAATAACCAGAGTATAATACCATCAACTGACGTGATACAACTCACTTTGACTCTGAAGATGACTACCGCACAGGTTGTCGAAACGTCAGTCACTGTCAACAACAACAGTCCTATTCAGGACTACGTTCACCCGGACGATCAAACTCAACCTACTTTTGAAATGACTCCTGGATTCAAACCTTTCACATACTAACTGAATAAGTTCGACTCTAAGCGACACTGGCGCGACATCTGACTCAGTCGGCACAACGTGTGTTGAGCCAAAGTTAAGTAAGACAAAATTTCGACAGACTCTGTCGAACTTTTGCCGCACCTGACTAAAACTGCCGTACTAATTGATTCAGACGCCGCTCCTTTAGTGGGGAAGGGACATACGGAATGTTTTCGACATGTCACTAACAGCATTAGGAAGATTGGTAATTGATAGAAACTGTTTCCGCTGTGCGGTCAAAGATGCAACGTCCTATGGGATAAGCCCCGGGGGGGGGGGGTACTCCCTAATATGGGCTATATAGGTATGTGCGGCCCCAAAGGGTAGGGTTTTTCAGCCGTTTTGGTCATAAATTGGGTATCGATTTTGGCTATTTTGCCGCCATTTTGGTCATAAATAGGGTAACGATTTTTGCACTGTAGTCTTGAATGCACTTTTTTAGAAGAAGCTACTTCCTTATCATGTCCCCCTAACCTAATAAAAGCAGATAAACATTACCTTTAACATTGGTCTGAACTAGGGAAATAATTATAAGGCAGGTCTGAAACAGGGTATTGATTTAAGGGTCAGGTCATAAGTAGGGTATCAAATTTTTGGTTAGGTCATAAATAGGGTAGGGAAAATCGCAGATTTTGGTCATAAATAGGGTAAGGGTTTTGGGAAGCGGGCCGCACACCCCTACCCAATTTTTCTGCATGAGTACCCCGGGGGATAAGCAGTTAAAGTAGTAGTAGAGAAAGGCTTGTTCGTGTATTAAGGAGAAAATAAAGCAAATAAAACCACAAGGGGAATGATTGATATTGGCTTTTTAAAAACAGAAAAAAAGAAATTAGTACAAATTAAAAAAACTTGTTTATTTTAGAAAAGAAATATAAAACGTGGTCTCTGTACATTGCCGAGTCAGTACATAAGCACTTGGAAATTTTAACTCCGAAAAGTGTTAGAGAAGCACTAGCCTCTCGACAATGCACTCGACACTTTCATGGAGTCGAACCTGCGACATCCTGTTCTGCCATTTCACCCTGTCTTCCTCGCAGGCCAAATACAACGTGCCCTGGAATCTGTAACCTGCATTGTTCAGTACAAATCTAGTCAATTTCTCGCTCTTTGCCGTTATATGTAATTTTTATATCGAAACAATTTTAGTCAGGCTTGCTTAAAGTCAGCCGGACTACCATACCATCGACGAAAAGAGGCGAGAAAACTGAGGAAATTAAACTTTCAGAAAGTAACGAAGGCAGCAGTTCCTTAGTATCATCGAGGTTCAACATAGCCTCTAACTTTAAGAAAAAGCTCTTGTAACTTATTGTCTGGAAAGTTACCGGGTGTAAGGGACATATCTATATACAGCAGCTTGGTAAAAATTAGGGCCAGTTGTCCTGCAGGCGGCCAGTCGATGAACTCGAATAACAAGGGTATGATGGGCTTCTTTAAATTGTCAGCCAATGTCACTTCCCTCTGGCACATTTCAGATTTGCAGTAGCGTTTTGTTACGCAGCAAATTACGACCTGTAAAAAGCATCAATAGTAACAGTATAAGGTAGTTAAAGATATGCGAAATTTATTCAGTTGAGTCAGTTTCTAATGTTACCAAAATCTGTGCTCTTGTAAAATAAATATTTTCCAACGTTATAAACAGTCGCACTTCTTCTCCTAGTGGTTTCATGTGGGTAAGTATACTGAGCTAAGCTTAACTGCTAAAAGCCTAACGATTTTGTACAGATTTTTGACTGCAAAAGGACTAAATCAAGAAATCATGTTACAAACTTGTTTGACTAACCTAGGGTTCTACATGCTTCACTACTCAAGTCAAAAACGAAGACTAACATGGACCCAGTGTCAAACATAATTAGCAAAAATAACACATCGCAAAAGATAATTACATAAAACAAGCCTATTGTTCCACACCATTCAGGTAACGGTCTCATAAAAGAAGCTTAATTTCGAAATACATTTATTACGACGTTATAACATATGACTTTCGACCCAGTCCTAAATATTCAGCATTTAATTGGACTAAAACAGTAAATAGATGATAAATAATTAGAAGTGCACACCGGCAATTAACAGCTTAAATAGAGCTCAAAGACAGCTTGCCACCTCAGTGCACTTCTTCACTGGGTGATTCCCTACCTTTGAAGCTCTGATTCCAGCATCAATCTCCGCGTACATGGAGTCCCCTCCACCCATCCGACCAATATCCAACCAGCAATGGAACCCAACCTCCTCAAGTTTGTTCTTCAGTAACTTGACCGTGTCCTGATGATCCCACTGGTACGAGATGAACACCTCTGGACGGACTGCGGTCTCAGATATGATGTTCATTATTCCTGGAAAAGAGAAAGATGAATATTCAGAGAGGTTTATTCCAGAACTAGGAAAGGCGATGTCCTGTCCAGCTGTGTGTAACGCCTGTGTAAGGGGAACACACGTATCCCCCTCCCACCGAAAACCATAAGAAAAGACACATTGACTGGATTGTTAACGCTCGTACCCTGGCAAAATTTAAACACTTACAGTATCACTCATACAGTGACAGAGGACTAAAGGTACGGAAAAACGGGCGACAAAAATCGGGCAACTTGTCATGCAACAACTCTGCAAAACGAGTCGAATAGCGATGTTGCGCGTTTTACCACCTATACCAAACCTGTCTTACAACAAATCAGGTTGTTAACAGGTTTGACTGACGTGGGTGGTAACACGCGCAACATCGCTTTTCAACTTGTTCAGCAGCAATTTTGCAAAACAAGTTGCACGTTGCTGTTGCCCGTTTTACCGAAGCCTAAGTCGTTTACCACGCAAAAGATAAGGTAACAAGCGGACACGAGCCAGTGAAGCCCACAGAGGAGAAACATACCCGGTCTCAATATTACAAAACAGCTGGGAATATTGAGGGGAGGGGATGCTAGTCAAACAGCTGGTTACCAACTGCAGTATGTCGGCAGCACCCATTTATACACTTGAGTGAAGAGAGACAAAAAGAAACAAAGTTTCTCGTCGAAAGAAACAACGCGATGGCAGGGTCAAAGTACAACATGATAAGCCTTCACCCACCAACAACATTTGCGATGGATGAGCATCCCGTCCTGCTACATTTTTTGTCCCGAAGCGCGCTTTTCACTTTCATCCACTGTTGTCACGGACAGAAGATTGTCAAAAAACTAAGACCGGCGATTTCGAAAATCAAGACCACAACACTAAGAGACTGAACGCTGTAGCAGTTGTCATATATTGTCAGCGGCAGGGGAGGGTGGAGACGGGGACCAATTAACCACGCGAAAAGGAAGGGGGAGGCGGGGTGAGGACAGGGCAATTAACCACAAAACTCTATCCTCCATGTCCATTCAGTAGAGGTTCAAGCTATGAGTCGTGCATTTATTATAACAACTCCAACGTCAGTGAACCTAATACTAAACTCACCTCCACTTTTTTCGTGTTTCGCTGCATCTAGAAGATCCAGATCGTTGGTCTAAGGGAGACAAATAAAACAATTTCCTTTTCAGAGGTCACAAAAAGACATCACACAAGATAGTAACTAATTTTTAGTCGGTTGGCTTTCCAGGGGCTGTTCAGTCCGCCAGAGCTTTTTTTTTTATTTTAAAAGGTTGGGACTCTGATGAAAGGACTTAACACACATGCAGTCACTGTAAATCCTGAATTTGTCAAAAAAAATGACAGAATATCAAGTCTACTCTTTAAATAAATCTACGCAAAATGAGGGGAGAAAAACAAACTATCCCTAAAAAGAACAATAGCTATCACGGGCAAACTGAAGGGAAAGAAAAAACAACAACAACAAAACAAACAAAAAACAGAAAAACAAACCATTAAAGAAACATTTGACGTTGCAAGGAAATTATAACACTGAGCCCTTTGTGGACAGTTATGTCAAGAAAAAAAATCTTTACCTTGTGTGCACTGGTCAGGTGTAGTTTCTTTCAACAATTTTAACCCGATCAGGATGGGCATTGGTAAATACAAAGTCAATGTTATAAATAGGAATAGAAATACAATTTTGCGACGGCTTTCTAATATACATTAGGCTAACAATAAATAATGGTGACTGAGTACTGTTGTTTTTCCACCACCCTAAACGTTATAACACACACAGACACACTGGCAAGTTTCGCACTTCATTGACAAAGAACCAAGTTGGGGAGACAAAAGACTAAAGCTCGTTAAAATAAGCTTAATTACCTTTTTGGACAAACCACGCCACTCCTCCAAGCCATGAACTTCCACTCGCGAGCGAGAACCAAAAGTCTTCCTACAAATCAGTTTTCCGTCGTCTGAAATGGGCAGAAAATGGATGCAGTCGATAAATGCGCAGGATTGTACTTTGTGTTTTGTGCACACTTTGTTGGAGTCACAACACGACGGGCATGTCACGCATAACTCGTAACGCATGTTACGCAGACACACAAAGTCACGTGACAAACTGCGCAAAATTGACTCCAGGAGCTCTCGGACTTGCGAGGCCAAGCCGACATCTTGTTCTTTGTTCTGAAGAATCACCTTGACGTATGATTGCTTGCAAATCAAGAAAAGGTCACTCTCGCCCAAAATGAACCTGACTAAGTTTTGAAACAAGTTTGGTTCGTCTCTGCAGCCGAGTGTGGGGCAGGCTGAGATGAAGCGAGAAACAAGCTGAGGGAACAGCCCGTGAGGGAGAAAACCATCGGAGAAGTTGATGAACAGGGGACAGATGTCAGTGGGACTGGTGTCGAGATCGGTCACCGGACACGAGCAAAGCTGTGCTGGTACGAAGTATTTCACAGATGGCGTAGGAGATTTCTTGGAGTCTTCAGGGGTAAATTTCGCGATCAATCCGTACATTTCCATCATGCACAAAATGTCGGTCTGTGATTGGCCATCGCACAGGAACTCTGCAAACACGTGGTCCACTAAACGCATGCTCAAAAGGCCAGTTTCCTCTAGTTCGCTCCAAGCTGCTGCGTGGCGTGGATTCTAATTAAAAAAAGAAACAACATACAAATTAAAAATCGTTGCTTGACAAGAACAACTTGAAATATCATAGGAGAGCTCCTAGTTCATTTCTAAAGTTAAGTTGTCAAAAAATTACTCCTACAAATTTGGTTTCAGGTAGGCAATATCACAAGCAAATAATGATGCGATACGAAATATGGACTTGATTATCAGCTTCTGTATTCTTCTCCCTTCTCATTTGCTCTATTTTTCAATCGCCATTCATGCTCTTGAATTTCTCTGGTGCGTAGGAGACTTCGACGCCTACCGAAAGTCAGAACGGGCTGGTAAAGTGATCTTCAGATTTTTTCGGCAGTTTTTGCTAAAAAAAGCAACCCTGCTGTGCACAGTTTTCCGCAGTTGAATAACCTGGTTTGACAGATCTAAATAATAGTGAATGCTCTTTACGAATGGAAGACCCTAGATAACAATGACCTCAACCAGGTTGGCGTCCAACGGTTTCAGTGAAAACAAGAGGTTTGGATGGGGATGCTCAGTCTTGCGGTCCCATAAAACGTGGTCTCGGATTGTTATTTAAGGATTTTCTTCACGAATGGCCTGGTGTGGCCGCGGACGAGTTCTGATGACTGCTAAGCACCCTTAGGCCCTAGTGGGAACATGGCAGCGCCACGGTTGTATAGACAGGCAATACCTGTTCGTCGAAAGGTCGTATAGTGATAAGCATCTTAAACAAATGAATCAACCACTGTGTCTGTAGCACCACAGTATCACCATGCCAGATGATTATACCGAGGTCATGGTAAAAATCTAACATGGCGACCATCTCAGCCTCATCCTCAATGTAACACTTCTGTCGTACGATGTTGTACAGCTGGGAAACTTTTAAGTAGAACATCTTCTGTTGAACGAGAGCTTCAACTACTTTCTCAAAGTTGAACCAGCGAACGGGTACATCCTCTCCCATGTATGGCTCCAGTCGCAAAACCTGAGATGATAAAATTTAAAAAAACCATTCACCATTAAAGGTGACGAAGTAATTCTCTGTTGTGTAAGAAACATTTACACAATACCTGAGGCAATGTTCACAAGTTCAGCCGGTGAGCATTTATACCCTGCTAGTTGAGCGTGTTCTTAGCATGTAAGAAGGTCTGCGCGCCTCTGGTATTAACAAGCAGACTAAGCAAAATACCAGAGACGCGAACAACTTCGTATAAAAAGTGCTCCGTTAGCTCGGTAGATCAACGTATGATTACTTTCTGTATTCGATTTTTGTATTGGTTTCTATGTATATACTAATCTTATTTAGAGACATACTTTAGCCCATTAACATTGTTATATTTAAATGTAACATAAGATATGTAATTTTATCTTTTCAACAATAAAGACACTTTATTTATTTATTTATTTATTTATGTATTTATTTATTTATTTATTTATTTATTTACACCAGTCGTCAAGTTCGCCAATTTAGAGCTCTAAATTCTCATACTTTCTAAAAGAGCGTAGCGCCACAAAGCTACTTCCGCTGTAGGACTGCAAGAGAATTTTGATAAGGGAGTGCGAAAGTTTTGAGAAAAACAGAGTACGACTGATGAAGGAAAAGTAGTAGATAACAAAACCTGACTTTACCTCTCTTATTTCCTGGCGAAGCTTCGCGACACCTTCATCCTCTCCTGCGTGGGTGTTGTCCACGCGGTAAAATGGTCGTCGAACGTGCTGTTCATATGTTTTTCCAGACAAACTCTTTTTGATCTTGCTCTCTATTTGCTGGGGGTCCTCAAATGGTTTGTCTGCATGTGTACCCACGATGATCACCGGGGGCCTCAAATAAGGCATTTCCTCATCTTTCGCTTCTCCATTAGCGCTTAGATTGTGAACTGAAACAAGCCACGACAGAATGCTGTCCAAGTTTGTTTCGTCCCCACTCGCGTAAGGAATAAAGTCATGCACCCCCTGACGAACACAAGGCTCCATTTTAGCGCCTAGGTCCTTGCTCATGTTATAAACTAACACGTAAATTGCTCGGGGTGACAAAAACACGGGATGCGAGGCGTAGTAAAGATGTTGGCCCGCAAAGTCCCACATTGTCACCACAGTCTCCCTGTCGCTTGTCTCTTGTACACTCTGCTGTCTCTGTAGGTATTTAGCCACCAGGACCTTGACGTCTTCTGGGACACCCCCTGAGGTATCGATTTCTAAATGAAACTCTGGATCAGGAAGTAGATCAGGGATATCATCTGGTAGTACATCTGTGCAGCACTCCGCAGGATCGTCTATTGGTATGGGTACAGAAACCACCTGGAGTTGGAAACCAAAAATGTATCATAGTGGGAAAGAATAAATTTTGTCAAAAAAGAAGTAAAAAGGAACTAAACGAAGTAATGTTCTTTTTTCAACAAGTTTTGGTAGGCAGGATAAAATGGCAAAAAGAATGAGCGGATGAGTAAACCGCAAAAATTATGGGCACTGGATAAGATCTAGAAGAGAATAAAAAGTATCTTTTTGATTTGAAAGACTCACTTAACCGACCGAGTAAGGGGTACATTTAGTACCTGGTTGCCCTGTGGTGCAGCTGTCGCTCCTTGAGTGACATCACGTTGCATATTCTCTGTTGCAGTACCCGAGGCTGGCTTTTCCTCTTGATCCTCAGGCTTTTGTAACTCTCCCACAACAAGCCTGGCAATATCATCGGCAAACTCAGAAGTAAACTTCTCGTTCTTAACAAGCTGCCAGTTCATGACTCTGTCCACGTCCACCTCAAATTTCGATGGATCTACTTCTATTCCGTCGGTGCTTGGCTCACCGGGATCAAAGGAAATTCCCAGAAGTGACTTCTTTAAACTCGTTTTACCAGCTCTGTTTTGTCCAATCAACATAACGCGCCCGCGATACACCCTGACTTTGCCTTTTTTTAAGGCTCGCTGAAAAGCATGCTCAGCCTCGATACCACGCGCTTGAATCTCTGGGGGAACTAATTGAGAAAACCAAAAAGACATTAATATCAAACTCGAAAAACCATGAACACCTGAAATATTTCAGTAGTGATTATTGTGTGACTAATCAGCGCAGACAAGCAAGCCATTTTCTATGATGAAAGGTTTTGCGCTGAAAAGGGCTGAATCTCTTTTGATTGGCACGTTTCTTTATCAGTTCAAATAATAGAATCATTTCTTTTTTATTCAAATTGATACGATGAACACAAATACCACCTACTCTGCGCTCCTCTTAAAATCAGTGATAGAAAATCGAGTAGAATGAATTTTTACCTGTTGAATCTTTTTGTGGCTCTTCTTCTGTGGACACAGAAGCAGATTCTTCCTCAGCCTCGGTATTTGCTGTATCCAAGTTTATGTCTTCCACTCCTTCATAGAACAAATAAAATCACTGAATACTTTTATATACTATATAAGATACTCTCGATGGACGACAGAAACACAGAGATAGCGGAAGTCTTATAAGAGTGACGTACCCTAGCTATCATAAGTGTAACCGACATAAAACAGTTGTCCCTCAAAGGAGCTGTGACAAGAAATCTATCAAAATTTAAACAAAGGACACCGCCACCAAATTGAGCGAAACAAAAGATAACAGTCATTTGTGTTATTAGCCAATGGATGAAAAGATTGAAACATGGACTCTTCGTTTTCTTGCCAAAGAAAACCCTCATATGGAGAAGGCATTGTTCGATTGGCCAATCGTGTTGCAGTATGACGTCAAAGCGAAGTATCGGTTGATTTCTAGAAAGTTCTCGGGCATGAAGTTTTTTCACCCGAGCGTTCGCCTAACCAACCAAAAGCCACGCGCGCTTGTATCCGTTCGATAAACCAATCAAATCGCTCTATTTCCGTTCGCTTGTTGTTTCTGTTTTGTTCGCGCGTTTTCATTTCAAGGTCATACGAAAATTGCAAATTATAACAGAGAGCACATTTTTGTGTAACAAGGAGAACTGTGTGTGGCTGTTAGCTTGGGCATATTAGGCTCCACGGTTTATGTATTTATTTGTATAGAGAACTTTCACAAATCTGTGTCCTTTTATAGTCAGCGTCACTGACTCGTTTAAGTGCTTAAAGCTTTGATTTTCATTTCGTGCAACATAACCACTAAGCACAACACCAAGGCAAAGTTCACAATAGTAATGTTTTCAATGTTGACAAAATGACGAGAGAGTGGAACCTTTCAACAGTTTTTAGTTGGATGGCGACGATCACCACAATTTTCTCTTGGCTTCCACTCTCAGGCTAAGTTCACCCGGAACTGGACCAATTTTCGACCGGCTAAAAAATTTGACCGAACACTTCGTTCACATGGAATCATTCAACATTTTCGCTCTGTTCACACGGAACTGACACACTAATTTTAAAAGCAGGCATCGTGGCCGAGTGGTCAGCGCGTCGGACTCGCAATCCGGCGGTCCCGGGTTCGAATCCCGCTGTGGCCACTCGCTGGATTTGTTGTCGGTCGTCCCGAGTTCAAATCCTCCGCGACGCTTGTAAATAGCCAACTGGTTGCCTCTTGCCAGTTGGGGTTTTTAATCCTGTTATGTTGTATTTGAGTTATTTGTTTCTAAGTATTTCAGTGAAGTGCATGTAAACTAGCTGGATAAGCTAAGTGCACTTTCCACTATAAACAAGCCTTTAAACCTTTAATTTTTTTTAATTTTGTCGGTGGTTTTATTATCTACCCGTGTACGGAGCGCTGATTTAGCAAATCCAAAATGCCGCCTCCCAGGTGAGTCGCTACGCATCTATGGAACCACGCCTTTGCCGTACAAAAAATTGTGCACACCGCACCGGTCAAATTTTCTACCGTGCCAGCTAAAAATTTGACCTCGATTTTGGCATTCAAATGTGTAAACGGCTAGGCGTCTAAATTTTCACACGGTTAAGATAGTGAACATATCCTCTGTATATACCACAGAGAATTACTGCGTTCAAACAAGCAGTTGTACAAAAGATGCTTGCGTAAAGCACACTAGTAATATTCAACACAACTGTTCCCTCTGGGGAGGGAAAGGTAATAGCTTTCTCACTTTTTAGATATGCAGAGACAGGAGGAAAGAGTTGCTTTGGGTTATGGTGGTTTGTGCAAGGACACAAAATATTCCACCTTACGTTTAACTAGTGTGGCTGTATTCATAAGTTTAAAAAATGGAAGATATCCCAAGTTCTTACCAACAATACTTTCAGTCTTCGAAGAATCAAATGTTCCAAGACAACCATTTTTCTTTTCGCCAATCCATACTTCACCACTTTCTCTCTTTTCCCTACACAATGATAATATAAAAGAACGACAACTGTAACAACACATCTTATCACTAGTGTACACTTACGTATCATAATGTTCAATAATCTGGTATTACTGGTTGGCTAACAGTCTCTCTACCGCTCTTGAATGCAGATGTATTTCAACGTTTTACCCTTCTCCATAAAACGAGCAGTTGGAAATACTTTGCATTCCTGGGTTACCGGCAAAAAAGGGGGGGGCAGGGGGGGAAAGGGGGGTAAATCCGGATTTCAAGTGGATGATGGAATAGGGCAAAAATTAAAATCCCAAAAAAACCTACGGTTTCCAACAAAACCCAAAACAAATCCCTGGACCAAAAATTAACCTAAAAAATTTCCCATTACGAATTACCGAGCCTTAAAAATTTCCAGAGAGCAAAAGAAGGCTGGTTGTACTTTATTCGCTGAACTACGCAGTGGGAATACGCGGGCACTACCACTAACCTTCAGAATGCCTTAAGGTCTCGCTAAAGGAAAACGAGGTGCCCACAGAAAAAAGCTCTAGTCGCGCGAGTATTTTCGCTACAAAGGCAAGTTATATATCAAATTAAAGCTAAAAGACTAAATTACCTTATAAAGATTTTATTTCATCGAATTTCAATAGGCGCTTAAGTTTTTTGCTCTCGAACTCAGGTCTTTAGGTCTTTTATCTGTCAATCAGATGCAATAAAAAGGAAGTGAATATTTAACAACGCGAAAGGGTTGGAGCTTCAGCAGCAAACTCGATACCTCTGAGTTCGAGAGCAAAAAACTTAAGCGCCTTTTGAAATTCGATGAAATAAAATCTTTTATAAGGTAATTTAGTCTTTTAGCTTTAATTTGATATATAACTTGCCTTTGTAGCGAAAATACTCGCGCGACTAGAATTTTTTTCTGTGGGCACCTCGTTTTCCTTTACCGAGACCTTAAATACCCCAAAAATCCTCTACTTAAATCAAACCACCCCAAAAAATACTTGCCAAATTCTCCTGCAAAAAAAATTACGGAATTTCAAACCCCAAAAAAATCCTTCGGTCAATGCCGCCACTTGAAATCCGGAGTACCCCCTCCCCCCTCCCCAAGGGGTTACAGGCACATGCAAATGGCTGAACAATTTCTTGTGTCCAGGAAGAACTGTACTCAGGCACCATGCCCAGGCACCCAGTGTAAAAGCTGCCTTTAAAACTCACTCTCTTGATAGGGGCAAGAAGTTGTGATCCAACATTTCACTTGCAACATCAAGGGCAGTAACATTGTGCCATGGCATGTGTTCAAGGTCAAAAACAAATTGATGGCGGTTATAATATTCTCATAAAAGATCTTACTTTTATAAAATTGGACAGAGGCTTGGGGAGTTGACATTGTCTCAGTCACCCAAGTTGACTCTTAAATCAGCTGGGTCGAATTCACATTACATAAAACCCCATAGTAAATCCCTATAGCATACCACTACTTTAATTACAGTAAAACATGAAGGTTACTAAAATAGTTGGAAATGAATAAAACATAAAATCTAGCCATAAATTCTGTACCATACTAAACACAAGATTAAAAGTATGTAGTACACACATAATACCGTAACATTTTACAAGTCAGTATGAATAATATTGCATTGAATAATAAACTAACCTACCCTGGAATTGTCTTGGAGATCAGGAAGATGATCTCACCCTTTTTGCATGTAAGTTCATGCGGTGCTTGGCCTTTGAAGTCTGAAGTGACAAGAAGTCTGGGAAGTGAAAAATCCTGTTATGAAAAGATGATTAAGTTTTATTAGTTATTAAAAAATTTTAGTTTGTTATACACTTGTACTGGTTAATTCCTCACGTAAGGCCGTCGCGTAGCAAGTTTATTCCTTGCGAAAGCGAGGTTAATAAATCTGTTGGAATTTGCATCGTACGTGGCTAGTAATGACTGACACTTTTAGAACTCACCATAAGAGTTTTTGTAACTGCAGACAATGATGGCCTGTTTGCCTGTTTTTTTGCACAGCATTGATCAAACAGTTGCTTCAAAGCTTCAGGACTGAGGAAATTTCTGGTTATCTATTGGAAGAACAAGAAAAGATCAGACATAAGAAATTTCAGATTGTTGTGTGCTTTTTCTGTTGTCCTTGAGTGAGGGCAATGTATATAAGCTAGCCGGCTCTTTTGTAATGAAAACGAGCTTGTCTAAGGTCCTCAGTGTTCAAAGAAAGTTGTGTCCGATAGCCCGGGGCTAATGGATTTTGCTATCAGGCTAGTGTTTTTTGTTCTTAACTTGCCCGACGGGCAAGTGCTGTTTTTTGGGAAATTCAAATTACAGAAGGATTGCCATCAATCCTGCTAATCAAAAAGGGTTTTGGGGCTAGTTGAAATGACTTGTGGGCTAGTACATGCTAGCTACCGCTCGCCCGAATGGCAGGCTGTAAAACTGACTTTCTTTCAGGGGCACCCAACGAGAATATAGTTCAAAACCACTTAAACATAGCATTGTTAAACGTATTTTAGTATTTAAACGGTAGATATAGGCATATTTTTATCCCCTAAAAATTTTTCATCTGTTCGGATTTCCTAGCTGAAAGTCTAGTGAACCGAAAACTATAGGGATCAAAACTTACCTTTTCGAAAATTTCAGTCAGAAAAAAGGCTCCCGAAAATTCTAGGTGACCTTTTAAGGGTAAAAATCGGTTAAAAATGGGCAATTATAGTAGTTTTTAGATGTTCGAAAATCTTAGCAGAGGCAGGCAAACAAAAAATTTTACAACAAATGTTCAGAAAATTCTAGATCTCAAATCGTCTTCTGAACAGATATTTTCCGAAAATTGTCGTTGGGTGCCCCTGTTTCTTTGCACCATGGTTCTGGACCCCATCATAACAGAGGGACCATCATTATATTTTACACTCATTTTAAGTTATACTGGATACCTTTAGGGGTGTCTGACAGGTAAATGAAGTAGTGCATCCTATATCAAATTCAAGCTTATTGAACTAGCTATCTCAATAACAGCGTGCAAAGAAAGTGGTGTCCGATAGCCTGGGGCTACCTAGTGGATTTTGCTGTCGGGCTAGTGAATTCTGCCATTAACTTGCCCGATGGGCAAGTGATTTTTTGGGGGGGGAATTCACATTACAGAAGAATTGTAATCAATCCTGCTCATCAAATTTTTTTCAGGTTAGTTGAAATGACTTTCGGGCTAGTACATGCTAGCTACAGCTTGCCGAAATGGCAAGCTGTAAAACTGACTTTCTCTGCACCCTGAATAAACCAACAATAATTTTAAAAAAAGAAAACTTGCCCTGTTGATTTTCCTTTTAATTTTTTCATGCATCCGAATCAGCTTTCAAAAGCTTAACCTTCATGATGAAAGCAATTTTTGGTTTTTACTTATTTGAATATTGTTCTATATTTGTAGCTTTTGGAAGACAAAGCACTAAATAAACAAGTCAGAGTTTTGCCAATTTCTAATGTGATGAACAGTTACAGACAATTTGGAAATTAAGCTAAAAATAAATCTCAACAAAAAAGTTCAAAGGAACAAAAATTTTCCCGATATGTTTTTGTTGCTTACACATTACTGTGCTTTTCACATACACGCGAACTCTAAAGCTCAAAAGCCGCCTTCACAATCGCGTTTTTCCTGCTGTCAATCATAATTACGATCACAAGCAAGGAACCTTGAAACACAGAAACACACGAAACTGATCGAAATCCACCACTCACAGATCACAAACCACGACCTTTTGAACCCGTTTAAGTAAAGTTCTGTTTCCTAAGAGGTCTGCAAAGATATTTGACGAGAGCGAAAAAGGCAAATGTCAGTTGTTAATTGGCTTTCGCGAATTTTTGAAAAGCGCAGTAAAGTAACATCCCTAAAAAATTTGAGGTCAATCAAACAAATTCTCTACAACATTTGTTGATATATTTACAAAATAACAATGCTGAACTGTGTGTCAACATAAACCTCTAAACTAAAAATTAACGACCGTCACATAAACAGTTTGCACGTAACGTTTACCTTCAGTTGTGAGCTAATAAAAGCCATATTGCTTTGTGTAAATGCCAAGTCACGAAACATCTCTTTGGCAATTTGCCCAAACCAGAAAACCACCTCACTTACTGACCTGTTAAAATATTGATAAAAATATATAGGGGAAAATGACACAGTTAGGCTGCCGCACCTGAAAACAAGGTTGATCAATGGTTTACTAGGCAAAATACCATAGATGTATATTGCTCCTGTCTTCAAAATATGGTAAGCATGAGCTGGTTACAGGGCATTGGAGCCAGTCAGAAATAGTGAGTGGTGAAAGAAATATGAAATATGATGTACACATTAAAAATAACTTACTCTTCTTTCAACTGGTCCTGCCAATAACATCCCCAAAATCCTCCCAGTTTAAGCTGCACATACAAAAACAAAATTGTTTAGGTCATTGTGGCATTGGTAGAAGTAAGCTGAAACTGCAACCATCAAAACAAAAAACAAGCATACCAGAGTGAAGCACTACTTATCTATAACCTACCATGATAAAATAGAAAACAAAACTTTATTCTGTGAAAGGTTTGAACCCAGGAGTCATTTCAAAAGTAAACTAAGTTTGATCGTCCCGGTGAATGTAGTCCTGAATAGCACTGTTGTTGTTGACAGTGACTGATGTTTCGACCACCTGTGCGGTAGTCATCTTCAGAGTCAAAGTGAGTTGTATCACGTCAGTTGATGGTGTTATACTCTTTATTCATGGTGTATTAAAATAATCTTAGCCATGCAATTAAGTTTCAAAGTCATTTAAACTTTTTTAGGCAGGTCTCTAATTTCTGAGGGAATCTTTTTACAAGGAACATACCCTATGTAGTGGGTAGTCTACCATTTTCAGACTCAGTTCTGGATCTAAGATTGCTTGTGTGTGTTCATTTAAAGTGTTGGTTAAGATTCATGTCAGGTACAATGGGAAAGACTATTTTGCATCTTATGTACGGGGCATATTACACAGCAAACATGCATCATTATACATTTTAGCACAGAATTCACAAGCACTCTTTCTTTAGTTTTTAATGTGACCGATCAATACAAGTTGTTCTTACCTTGCCTGGTTTTACCACAAAAATGGACGTAGTGCTAATTCTCAAGTGGATAAGATTTTTACTGTCAAGATATTCCAAGGCAGAAGCAAGCTGTGTTACCATCTGAATCAGACTGAAAACTGAAAGTTTTGGGAAGGCTTCTAGAATGTTCCCACACTCAGCATAATCCAACACCTAGACGAAAATCAAATCAAATCAAATCAAATCCTGACTCTAGAGCTAAGTAATATTTCAGATCAATGCACATAAGGCAAATGTAAGGAAGTGTATGGGTTGCTTTCGAGGTTTCTTTTTGCTTTATTTTGAAGTTTAAACCCTTCAAAATGTGACAGCCAGAGTCTCTTTATATGTTATTGCGAGTCATTCCTTACTGGAAAGAAATGTCCTGGGGAATGATCACCATGAAAAAAAATTTCAATATATATATATTATATTGCCTAGGACAGTTAGAAAGGCTTTAAACGCAATATCAGACAAAAACAAAACTTAAATTCAATTCACTTTGTTAGTTTAAGAACCAGAATTGGGAAATGTACTGCTTGTTAGCAGCATTAGAAGACATTTAGAACGACAATAATTTTTGGAATTTCCAGTTAGGTCAAATTAGTCACGTTATACTGTCACACTATATTTTGGGTTGCAGAGGGATTGGGGGAGGGGTGCATGAAAATAACGCTTATTGTTTCCTGCTTAGAATGGCTAACTTGCTTTTTTTTTATATTCATGATGGTGGAATTTGAAAAGTTACCATACAGCCCTGACTTAAAAATGGTACCCATTTGTCTTGTTAATTGAAAGTCTTCAAAAGGCTACAATGTTCAAATGAGTTTATGTTTAACTTTCACACGAGATGCTAAGTCACACAATGGTCAGCGACAAGGTTATGTGATGGTTTGAGTGTGTACAGCCCCCCAAAACATAGCCCTTAGCAGCCCAGTTAAAATTCAATTCTTGTTTTACATAATTTCTGGGAAATGACACAAAAACCAAGCAGAAAATGTTTGCAACAATACATGTTTCTGTACTAAAGGACAAACTTTTTAAGGGTGGCATGTGGTATCGGCATGTTGGGGCACGTGAAGAGAACAAAATTTCAAGGTTGGTCTTGAACTAAAAACTGAAGGTAATAACTTGACATTTAGCTTTGAAATGCATTCTCTCCTACCTGTTTGTATCTCTTACAATAAAATCTCCATGCCTTTTGCTGGGCATTCACGAGGCTTGCCAGCTTCATTTTGGTGGATTAAATTTCTAGGGAAGGATCTTGAAATACAAGTGGGTAGTGGAACATTAAGATTTTTGCAGTAAATTCACTGCCAAAATTACATTAATTTTTGTGCTTGAATGTATACTACAGAGAAATAAAAATGCTCTAAAATGCACTCACTAGAGCCACTGAATCTGTGTACAGCCCCGGTAGAATAACTCCGTGGAGATTAAGGATGCTCTCATGTGTCAATGATGCAGAGATTTCAGCCTCATGAAGAAAATGATGTCGCTGACCCTGTGATCGATCGTATCTTAAACATACTCGCATCTGTAAAAATATGCAGTATAGCTCAACGTTACATATTATTCAAGGACTATAATAATATTTAAGGAGCACCAAATTTCTGAGTGAGCCAAAATAAAGGATATTAAGCTTGTGGAAATTAATGTTCCCCGTAATTAAGGGTTCAGGAATTAACATTAACAAAAATTAAGGAAACTTAAACTGACAAAATTTTTGAACTCTGCATTAATTTCATGCAGCATTACTACGTATTACTTTCCTATAAAAAGGAATATGCTTAGTACTAGGTAATGAAATATTGTTTGAGACAATAAAATACCCAAAATTAATGTGAAGTTTATGACATGCCTTGTGTTTTTACGTAGATTAAGTGAAAGCTTGATTGTTGATTCGTAAGTTATACGTATAGAAGAGGTCTCAAAACTGGATCAGGTTGTTTCATTTCAATATATCACACCCTGAGTAATGTTTAAGCAGTAGAAACCTTTTCCAGTGGTTACATAGCCTGATATAGACAATAAAAGGGCTAATCTGGAAAATATTCATACCATACCACAGATGGCTTCCATATTTTAACCCCCCTTGCCTTCAGAATTTCCAAAATGAGCTATCCTCCATGCCCTGCAAATTCCATAATCGATAACCCCCCTCCTGCTCAGACTTTCCATTTTTCTTTTTTTGTCAACCCTTTGGAATTACTGGCAGGGTTCACAAAATAATACCCAATTTGGCTTACTAACTCTACATCTGTTCAGCACAGCTGGTTATAATGGGAGTTAATATGACTCCAGAAATTCTGGAATAAAAATGAAAAAATGGAAGTTTTCTTGTTATCACTGTTTAATAGATGCAACCTACATTTGCTTTACAATGCACCAGCTTGTTACAGAACATTATCCCCTATTTACACTGGGCTTGATTTGCTTTCTGTGACCAGGAGAGGGGGGGTTAGAGGGGTTAGGTGGTGCAGGCACTGGAGGCCCCCCTCTTTAACTACAAAACCTCTCATGACGCAGCCGCTAAAATAACACAGAATGATCATTTCCAACATCTAGACATAACTTGATTGACGTAATTATTATTAATGATGTAATTTGACATCATTATGACATCATTTAACAATAGCAGTGGTATGAAGATAATGTGAATTGTGGAAATACAAATTTTAAATGAAGATATGATCAGCGCAGTGGTCATCGCAATTTAAGCAATTACAAATACCGCCCCCCCCGCCCCAACAAAAAAAAAAAATTCAGGACTTCAACACAATTTGAACCCATGGCCCCACCTGTGTTAGTGCTGCAGTGCTCCACCAAGAAATTAAAAAGTAGCTCATATGTCAGTAGTCTTAGCATATGTATTTTTGTATCTTTTCTGTTAGTATGTCTTTTAAAGGGTGATGGGCCAATAAGGTTGGAGGTACTATGGATAATTGATGCTTAGGAACCAATGAGATTTTGGCATCTAAACATGACATAGCTAAAGGTCAAACAAGGGCACCTTGAAACCACCATCTTGATACCAAGGTTGATTGTGGAGCGAGCTCCGTGGACATAATGAGCTTAATGAACCAGGTATCAAACTCAGTTGCCAAGATAACTAATATTATCTGACAAAATAACTGAGATTGTTTCATTGAGTGGAATAACGTGAGATGAGCAGAAGCTGTTAGAGCCGTTTTGTGATCACTGTCTGGCTTTAAAGAGCTAAAACATAACTAACCACAATGCTGTTTATAGGTTGTACACTTTGTGGCCTTTGCCTGCAGCTTGATTTATGACCCATATTTTGTCCCTTTTGTTCTACAAATGAACATAAAAACATACCTCAGCGATTGATGCTTGTCTTGTATTCTGCATCCACGGTTGTCAGCAGTGTTGCTAGTTTGTGCTTTATGTGAATTGATTAAGTCCAGAAAATAAATGTTTTAAGGAGTACACTCTTGTCTGTCTCCCATAGAAATTCAAGATCTACCCCCCGCCCCATGCCTTCGGGATTCCAATCCTAAGTATTCCCCCATGCCCTTGGATTTCTAGTTGAAAGACCACCCCCTTCTCCCACTCCCTTGCTCTAAGAATTCCAAAAAGCTCTCTGTGGTATGGTATGAATATTTTCTCAAATGGCCCAATACATGAAAATTACATGGAATCATGCATGTCTACATACTCTCATGCAAACACACCTCTCAGCCAATCAGAGTGCTATACATCTAACTACTGACAACACTCACAGCTGATTTATGATTAGGCACCTTAGCTTATTTACCTGTTAAATCCTCACCTTTTCTCCATTGGGTTTTGTCCAAATAGCTTCAAAAACAGATCCTGAAACTGGACCTGTGGCTGTTTTCTTCACAACTTTTACATCCTCCACGGAAATAAAAGCCACTCCAGATGACTGTAACCGTGCCTTATATGGTACTTTTCCATGCTTCTACAAGACATTTATGAACAAAGTCTTTTTTTGTTTTTTGCAGAAATTCAAAGCCAAGCAAAAAAAAGCCTAAAACAACAAGTCAAGCACTACGCTGGCTTTTGTTCCCACTGTAAATTATTATTATTGTTATTATTATTATTATTATGTAATGTTAATAAATAAAAAGAAGCATTCCAGTACAACTCCATATAAAAGACCAATGAAAAGATCATACACACTGTACTTACCAATGCTAAAGCAACAAAATCTGTTTTCTCTGCTTTTTGTGGCAAAGTCCTTAGCTGATCCTTTGCAAAGTTTGGTAGAAGTCGAAATCTTTTCAGCGCACCTTCATCAAGCTTCTGCCAATCAGCAATTGTTCGAACTTGCAAGTCATAACACAAAACATTGAAACAGTCTTTGAGGTTGTTCTCCACAAGAAGAAGAAAGATCTTGTCAAGTTCAGTAAGATCATCTTGAAGATGTGAAGCTGAAGTCTACAAAGGAGATATTAATAAAACTTATTTAAATCAAAGACTGTGTCCTGTGCTTTTCACAAAAAAAGTTTAAGAAACTGAGATTCTCAATGATGATCAACACATTGTTGTACTTAAGTGTCCAGATCTTAGCAAGGGATTTTGCAACTCATGCAGAAAGTTGGGTGTACAAATAATATAATTTTTAGACCAAATTAATAACACTGTCTATCTATAATTTCTAAATAATTTTTCAAAATTATCACAATTATTGTTGATTCTTCAAGCTTTATTGGTAATTGTGATTGTAATTTGTTTACCCACGAAGCACTTCAGACTTCTTAAGAAAAGCCTTAGGATTTCACGGTAACAATCGTTTCCGGTACCGTACGTGTCGTTACTGTGATCTTAAAATGACGGAACCGAACAATAGTTCCCCAGGGACATGTTCTGATTTATTCAGATTGCAGAATCAAAATACACAAATATAGTGTTTTTCCACTCAGATTCTTAACTAGTACAGCAATTCTTTATGACTCAGCTTGTGTATAAATGAAATTTTAAAAATGCTACAGTTTTTCTATTGTCCACCATCTTGAATCCTTCCCAAAGTGCATTGTTTGTTACTGATGACACACGCATGAAAGATGTTTTACAGTTAGCAGTAACGATTGTTATTATGGCTTCCAGTGCCAAGAAAAAGAATATCTGACTCCAAAAGTTTAAAAACAATAAGAATGAAGCCTTTTAGTGACAATTTCATTGTTGAAACTGACGTTGAGGCCCAAATAACTTAAAGAAAGGACAAGATCGGTAGTGAACATTTCAAGCGAATATACTTACTTCCTTAGTTGAATCTGAGAGGAGTCTGGAGTTTTTGACACTTACGTGTGCACACATTTAACACTCAAATTGATCTTCTGTCATTTTAATAGACATTGAAGTTTTTTGCAATTAAATTATTAGTACACACTGATGTTCTTTAATTTTAAAAGATGTTGAATGACATGTTTCCAGAAAACAGATAGTGTTACTGTACATAAAAAGAAATAAAAGTGGCTTCCCATGAATTTTCACGGAACCAAAAAACTGTTACCGATAGTTTCCCATGATCTCTAGGCACGGAACCGAAAAATTGTTATCCATGGGATTTGAAATCCTAGGGCTTGTAAGAACTAGTTGAAACGTGTCTGTGCATTCCAGATTGAACTGGAATTTAGAAGTGTTGGTTTTTATGAAGGGGGAAAAACCAGATTCCCTGGAGGAGAACTTCTCGAAGCAAAGAAAGAACCAACAACAAACTCAAACCACATATGGGATCAATGCCAGGATTCAAACCCAGGCCACATTGGTGGGAGGCAAGTGCTCTCACCGCTGTGTCATCCTTGTTTCCCCTTACTGGTACTACGTTAACATTTCATCGAGGCCATCAGCCATCTTGGGGGTTGTGGGGGGCACTATGCAAGTCTTTAGTGTGAACTTCAAATACAGGTGTTTAACGTTTGGAGGAGTAGGCCATGTCCCTGTTGGTATTTAACCCATCTTTATGTCATTTGCTGCCATTTCATCCAGTCTTAAAATGCTTGAAATTAACTTTTTTCCTCAGGCACCAACTGGTGACTACTTTGTTTTACTGCTGGGAAACCCATAATTTTACCATAAGAGATGTCAGTCAAGGGGTTATCTGATTGAAACATAAGGTGAATCACCAGTTGGTGACCAGGTCTTAAATGTAGTTGCCAGTTGCCAGCGGTCAATTGTTTGCTGCATTGGCTACCAGTGCGTCGCAATTTTGAGCCTTGTAATATGTTGCTGTTTCAAAGACACATCACTTGTCAGAATTTTACCCTAAAAGGGTGGCCTCTTTGTTGTCTTGTAAATTATTTCTAGTTATCCCTTATTAACTGGTTTTACATTAAACACCTAACGTCATCGAGCACTTACATTGTAAGCTCAGCTGAACAAAACAGCGTTAACAATTTCTCAAAGTTAAACTTGAATATTTATTAATTTCAAAACTTATCAGGCACAAATATCGATATAAAATTTACATAGATATTCAAATGAGCCATAGGGGAAAAGAAAAACATTAGTAGCAATAATAATAATAATGAGTAATTATGATAATAAAAATGATAAAATAAGATGATTATATAAAATAAAAAAAACTAATGGCTAAAGTTAAGAAAGATATAATCTGTTAGCATAATCTTAAAAACTATAAGCTAAAAATAATTTATAGTCTAAGCTCAAAATACAATAATATTATATTTATTCTCACCCATCATGGAGCTTTTCAAGGATAATGAAACAACAATCCAACTGGAACATAACATGGTTATAAGAGAATCCAACTGATAGGAGGTAAACCAGTTGGTTATTTTACAGACATCGCTGAGAGTTTACCCCCAGACTACCAAGAACAAATCCAGCAAGTGGCCAGGGCGGGACTTGAACTCGGGGCCTCCAGATGACAACCCCAGGATGGGTACTCCAGATCTCAAATGACAGGAATGATCAAAGGATTTTTGGGGGTTTGAAATTTTCAATTCTGGGATTTCTTTGGGTAGGATATTTGGTGAGTAGTTTTTTTGGGGGTGACTTGATTTAAGTAGATATTTTTGGGGGTACTCGAACCAATCCGAAGAGTCGTGGTAATGCCCCTGTATTTCGGCCACATACAGCAGCCGTAGTTTTGTGAATAAAGTACAACCAAACTTGCTAAGGCTCGGAAATGCAGCATGGGATTTTTGGGGGTTAATTTTTGGTCCAGGAATTTATTTGGGTTTTGATTTTTGTTCCCATTTGATCATCCCTGTCACTTGAAATCCAGGATCCCCCCCCCCCACCACCAGGATTACAAGTCCAGTGCTATAATCACGCACCTACGCTGCCTCCACATCAGATGAGAATCTTGTACTTATCAACTTTTATCGACAAAATTATCAACAACTATTGTTTCTGAGTATTATTATCTACTATGTTTTCAACGATTGATTTTGATCAATTTGTTACACCTTGAAATAATAATATAACGATAATTAGAAGGGAATGACTGAATGCAGTCCTGTTTATAGATTTAGTTGTTATTAAAGACTAGGCTAAGGCTGAATACCTACTGTTCTCTCGGGTTTCAGTGTTGGCTTGGTTAGTTTGGGCAGAGGGATATGTTTCAAAAAATTCATCCTTGTCTAATTATCAATAATCCCCACATTTACGATCCTGCGATTTAAACAAAATGAGAAAAACTGTCAGGTGTCATAATTATTACAACTTCCTGCTTTGGTAATGAACATATAACTGTAATCCAGATGGTAGCATCCCTACAAACCTCAAGGACAAGGACAATGGACATACAGAGGAAGAGGGGGTCAAAGTCTAGAAAGAAAGGAATGAAGTTAGGCCATAGGCATATTATTGAGGTGGTACGAAAGGCTAAAACCTCAAAATGCACCTTGGCTTTTTATGATAATTTCAAAGCTTAGACAGGGATTAAAAAATCTCCAAAGGACGCAGCTCTGTAATGTATTGGTTTCTTGTCAATAGGGGCACCATTTTGAGACGCCATATTGGATTCACACATGCATGCTCAGAATAGACAATAATATTTTGATTTGCCTGACTACATGCTACTCCTGCAATAACCTGAGAGCAGGCTCAATTATGTGAATTTAGGGAAAAAATTTTGGTAGCAGAGCCACCATCCAGCGAGGAAAAGTGAGCCTGCACAGGGGCTATTGATTTTTGAGTTTCGCCCCTTTTGAGGTGTCAAGATACTATCCAATAGGAGCAAAGCTAAAGTAAATGTTACAGGCCAAATTTGATTTCAGGTTAAATTTTTTCAACCTAGATTTACTCTCAATTTCCTTTGTCTCAAGTAGCCCTTATTATTCATGGATTAGGGCTAGGAAACAAAGGAAATTGAGAATCAATCTAGGATAAATCAAAATTAAGGTATCAGCCACCCTTAAAATTGCCATTTTTCCATATTTGAGGTTTCAACGTTTTCAAATGGATATGCTTGAGACCTTTCTTTTAAAAAAAAAAATCAGAAGAAAATATTATTTCTGTCCAAAGATATCGGGGGTAAAAGATTTTTTCTCCCTAATTATCTTAATTGATCGTTGACAAGATCTGTCATACCCGTGTCATATATCAATTAACTTGCCTGTAAAAGAGTGCGTGTTTCGACACAACAAGTGCGAATTGTCTTCGCGTTGTTTATAGCCTTTAGTATTCTCCGTGGATATTTAACGTTTGCTTCGGTGAACATGCCGCCAAAAAAAAAGAAAAGGTCATGTCCGTTTTCGTCATCGAAACCGAGAGCGAAAAAGAAATCGAAGACCGAGTTTGACAAAGAATGGGCCGCAAAATTGGCAGAGAGCGACAAAGGCTCATTTTATCAGCAAGAGAAGTGGCTCGAGGAGTTGGATATTCAGAAAAGCGAAAATGCTGCAGTTGCTGAGAGTGCAAGCCGCTCCAAAATTCAGCTTGAAGAGCCAGATGAAGAAAGCCAGTTAAGCTCATCGACCCCATCTGCTGACGGAACGTGGAAAACAATAAGCGGTCGAGCTATCGTATCGACCGAAAAGCTGCTTGAGAAACTGAACGAGTCTGTATCTTGTCGATTTTGCCAGGGAAGAGTCCAAGTCATGGAAAATTTAGCGACTAAGCATGGACTTGGTTCTACCTGGAGAATCCAGTGCGAGAATGAAAGCTGTCCGTCGCACAAGGCAAATTCTGTTCTTAATTCTTCCGAGAAGAGCAGAGCGTTTGAAATAAACCGGGCCTCAGTTCTTGGCCTTCGAGCAATCGGTGGTGGACATTCGGCGGCTTCAAAGTTTTTTAGTTTCCTTGGCCTGGCGCCGATCAACAAAAACGCCTGGGCGGATCATACAAAAAAGATCGAAGGAGAGGCAAAACTTTTGCTCGAGAAAGAATTAAACCGTGCTTCTCGTGGTGTAAAAGAGTGGAAGTTTTCCTGTTACACATTACCTGTCAAAGTCCTTTTGTTAGAGAAAATTGATCCCTCTCTGATATCAATCAGAATAAACATTTAGGTGTTATAATCTCATTCCAGGTAGGATGCTGCCAAAAATGTATTTTCTATTTTATCTCGAGCATAAATTTTGCCGATCGACTAAAGACGTTTTGAAATCCAAGTCGGCAGCCTTTCAATCAATTTGGCTAAAATTTGGCCAGAGTGATGCCATATATCTCTTCTACAAAACCGTGTCTGCGAATTTTAATACTCCTTTTCATTTTAAAGCCAGAGCTTTTTTTTTCCACAGGGAGTGTTGACTAATTGCGTTCCCCAACTTCATTTGCTAATAAAAGAAAAACAAACGCACTTGTCAAAAATCTGAGACACGGTTTTTGGTGGAACGTGTTGAGAAGCGAATGCGGTGTTAATTGTTTTCTTCCGTTTATTTCCGGCGGGAGTGGAACATGATTTATACAGACGTGTACTTTTGCACAAAGCGTTCCAATTTCGAAACACATTTAAGTAAATCGTTTTTGTTAGTTCAAATCCATAATCTGGAATTATTAAGCTTTTAAAAAATATATGGTTTATAGGGGTTTTTATAAAAACAACTAACGCTACAGCGATCCGTACGCGGACGGTCCTGAAGGGTGGCTGATACCTTAACCTGAAATCAAATTTGACCTGTAGCATAAACAAAAATGACAGGAAATTGCATGTGGAGATGTTATGCTAAACTGCAACAGAAATCAATGAGCGTGAAACAGACCACCATCATCTCCACAAACGGCAGAAAAAATAACCTTTGCTCTATCAAAATTAATATAGATTACAAACATCAAATATTTTTTAACAGTTTTAATTTTTAATCGTACATTTGCTTTCAGTGCTCCTTATTTTTCATGTAATTTTTGTATCTACGACCCCACCAGCAATGCTGACCTTTTTCTCGTGCTAAAATAAAGTTCTTTCCTTTCCAAGAATCCCTTTAAAGCATTGTCTATCTGCTAGAAACAGGTGGCTTTTTAACATGAGTTTTTGTGAAACAGATCATCCTCATGACCACTTAGTGTTAGACAGTGACAAAAATAGGCTGAATTTACTTAGTTTAAATTAAGAATCCTCCAGAACAATCTACCAGTTAGAAAGAAAACTATAAATTGGACAAAGAAGCATTTTCATATGAGGCAAAAGTAGTGAAGGCCTACTGATGCTTTTTATCATTGAATGTAAGTTTAATGTGTGAATGTTTATGCCCGGTTTCCTTGGTTTTTGTCATAACAATATTATGTAGCCTGTCTAAGCCCATCACTTTTAATCAATTAGATGGCTGCGTTTATCAGCCAGCGCTCCAAGCTGCGACCATTTTGGTCGCCATGGCGAGTGAAAAAAAAAATTGGCGACTGAATTATCGGCGAAAGTCGCCATTTGGCGACCAAAGGATATAAGCTCAAAAGACTAAAGTCCTAAAGTTGACTTCACGTTTTATCGCTTTTTAACTGAATCATCGTTAAATTAAAGAAATATTACCAAGCTTTTCTTCTGTGTAAATTCAATGATGAATCTGTTCCTCTTGCATGGCAAGACATGTGTACAGTTCTGGCATAAGGATCTGCGTATCGCAGCTTCGAATTCATTGAGCGGCCATTTTGAAAACTCAGGTGGGAGAAACTGGGAGAGCCCAAACTACTTCGAACTTCCGGCGGGGTTGACTTACACCCAGGCCACCCGACAGAAACAGTTAAATTTTTGACACAAAAGATGGCAAGTCGTATGCTCTTGTAAGTTGCGTTTATTTGCTTTTTTTTTAAATAAAAGCTGTTTTTATTATATTCATCAATAAAAATACTTTTGTTGGAGTAAATGTGTTTCATGAAGAAATATTAAATTTCCCGTGAGAAAAGTTAAGTCAGGCACTTTTCACGCTGATCTGGCTACACGTAGCCTGCGAGAGAATTCAGTTTTATCGGCTCTAGTTTCACAAGCGTTGTGATTTGTGAAGCTAGTGCCGAAAAAACCGGATGCTCTCGCAGGTTAGGCAACACGTGGAGTTGATGGTGCTGTGCACAATTACTAAAAATAGATAGACCCCTTGGTGAATGACAAAGTTTACATGCAGTCAGCTCAAAGGCTTTGTATGAGCGGGATTTGTTTTGGATATAAAAAATCAGCGAAAAATCGACGAAATCAGTGGTAAACATGATTTTCTTGCAAAAACATCAGCGCCATTGATCGATGTTTTGGTAAATGCAGTTAGTCACCGAATCGCGATAAATGTATATTTTACATTCTCCTCTGAATACGTTGTCGTGATAAATTCAAGTGTTAGTACTGCTTTTTCGTGATTAGAAAACCATATATAGATATTTATTAGGATAACTAAGAATAACTTGATACTGATATACGTCAACAATGAGTGGAAGTTATTCAGGCAAGTTTCATTTAGCACGTACAAACAGTATTTTTGTCATCAACTTTGAAGTAAGAAACGTTTATTTAGGCCAGAAGTATTGTTATTGTTATTGTTATTGTTGATTCAAGTTTTAATTTACATATGTGAGTGGTTTCAATGCCAATGATTTAGCTAAAGAAAGATGTTTCTTAGCAAGTAGACGGTACGAACAAATGTATATTCACGTAATCGTATCTGATCAGATTTGTTTCAATGATATCACTGCCAATACATGTTCCGGGTTTCAACATCCGACTTTGCAGTAAATTGTTCTGGTTACCTCTCATAAATGTCTTTGCCTGTTTTTGCCATCTTGTACTGCGTTTACAACCCGCAGGCAAGTAACAATGGAGTGTTAAAAACACGATTTATTTCCATACACAACGTTCAGCAGTAGCTCCTTCATGTAAGTAGCATGAAGTGTCTTGCGTTAATGAAAAGACAATTTTTGGCGACCGAAATTTTCCATTGGCGACCATTTTAAAAATGAAGGTCACCAAAAGGCGACTTATTGAAAAAATGAGCTTGGAGCGCTGTCAGCAAACACAGAGTATTTAAAAATCAATAGCTTGCGTACAGGCGCACTTTTTCTTGCTGGATGGTGGCTCTGCTGTGATTCGAAAATACCAAAGATTTACAACTACAAAAGAAGTTCTTCTTTCAGTGCTGTAAAATCTATCAATCTTTACATACTTCAAAACCAAGGTGCACATTTTTACAAAGTAAAACCACTGGAGTTTTTTTCCTTAAGTCGTTTTTACTATCGTAGATAGATTTCATTAAAAATTTTGAAGACAAAATTATTGAACAGGTTAGATCGAGGTCAAGCGTGGCATTACATTATGAAAACTAAAAATTTGATGAAAAAATAGAAGAAGCTGTTTTGGGGCTACCTTAAATAGTATCAAATTACAGACAC